TGAAGTTTAGGGTGAGAGACAAACCTTAAGTCAGAAATCGCCTGGGAAGTGTTTGCAAACTAACTGTGTCCTGATGTTCCCCCTGCACCCACCCTGGCCCTTCCTGCTCAGACTGTTCTGGTAGAGACGGCAGGGAGGGCATTGCCGGCAAGAGTCGGGGTGAGAAAGCTCGGTGCCTGTGGGGTCTCAAGCTGGTTGGCGCTGGACCAGGTGTGGAGGAGATAAAACAGGAGAGGCAGGGAGAGAGCAGGCTGGGGAGTGCCTGGGGGATAGTCGCTGGCAGGGCGCTACTGAAAGCTACTATCTGTGGAGTGAGGACTAGCCAGCTCGAGTAGTCCTCATGGGAACCACTTGGCCCTTGGCTGCTGTGATGGTTAATTTCTGTGTCAACTTGACTAGGCTAAGGGATACCCGGATAGCTGGTAAGCATCATCCTTGGGTGTGGGGGTGTCTCTGGATGAGATGAGCGTTTGAGTTGAGAGCCTGAGCAAAGAAAATGGCCTTTCCCGATGCGGCGGGCATCACCCAATCCGCTGAGGGCCAGACTAGAACAAAAAGGTGGAGAAGCTGAGATTTTTCCCTCTCTGCTTAAGCTGGGACATCCGTCCTCTCCTGCCCTCAGACATGGGAGCTCCTGATACTCCAGCCTTCAGACTTGGACCTGGATTCCACCACTGGCCACCCTGGACCTCCAGCTGTGGACAGCTGATTCTGGGGACTTAGCCTCCATAATTGCATGAGTCAACCCTTCACGGTAAATCTCTATATGTGTCTTATTGGTCTGTTTCTCTGGAGAACCCTGACTAATAAAATAAAATCTTGGTGGTCGCTGTGCCAGCAGAGGGTGACATGAAGTCACAGCTTCACTGCCTGTAACCCCACAAGGCAAAGGGACTCTGAGACTAACTTAGAACCCCCTTCCTTCCTTACTGAGGTGTTCCCCCCCCAAGGGACCACTGTCTGTGCTGGCTGGGGAGCAGCCGGGTAGCCAAGGGGTGCAGTGGGCTCAGCTCTGGCTTTGGGGCTGGACCAGGGTGGAGTCACACTCAGACTTCCTCTCTCTCGCTGCTGTCACTAGTCACTTGGCACGTCCGACTTCGCTCTCCCCATCTTAATTCTGCAGAGTTGTACAAATTAAATGAGAAAAGCATATGTGAAGCTTCCAGCAAGAGAGTGCTGAATGAGTATCAGTTTCCTTTTCTCAGCCTTTTTCATCGGGAGAGCGACCCGGTACCACACACACCTGCTTCCGAGTCATCACCAGCCCTGCAGGTAAGGACTGTCGTCCCCACTTGCAGATGAGGATGCTCAGAGGGTTTGTGTGGCTTGCTCAGGGTCATGCAGCTAGAAAGGAAAAGAGCCAGGTCACTCGGCCTGAAAGGATTCTGTTCCCTGAAGCATCTCTGTGTTCTCCTTGTGCTTTGGAGCCAGAGGCTCCTGCCACGCACCCCCTGATACAGCACAATGAGCCTCTCTCCTCCGAGTCAAGCTGGTCCTGGCACTGCCAGTGAGTCCCTGCACAGGGAGGTGGGCTGAGTGCCTGGATGTGACATCCCTGGTCCTGAGTCTCCTTTCTACTCCATCTCCCACTCACAGCCAGGCTCTTGGGACGACTGGCAGAGTGAATGAGCCCTTGCCAGGAGAAGGTGTGACCTCAGACGTTAACCTAGTTAATGGATCAGAAATGGGGGTCCAAACAGGAAAGAGGAGGCAGAGAAAGACACCCTAAGAAAGAAGGGGATGGGGCTGGGCTTTTTCTGTAGAAGTAGGTCCGTGGAATTGGGGACAATGCCCCTCAGTCTGAGCTGGGAATGATCATTAAGACCCTACACTTGCGGAGCACTTGACAGATTACAGCCCCTGTTCCCTGCATTAGCCCAGTTGATCCTTGCAAGAGGCTGAGCTAGGCTGACAAGACAGGCATCACCAGCGTTGCTTTCAGATGAAGAACCTGTGGCTCAGAGATGTTAAGACTCTTGGCTAAGGTCACACAGCTAGCTGGTGGTAGAGCTGGTAGGATCCAGGTTTTCTGACTTATAAGCTCTTTCCTTGTGGCCAGGGGAGGGAATTGATGCTGACTGATGCTTCTTCCATGGTCCTGGGGACTCAGGGAAAGCCAGTTTGGCCTGAGGACATGATTTAATAAAAAATATATACCAAGTCCTTCCTGCTTGTCAATGGAAGATATGCTAGGACTTTTCGGAGCAGGAGGAACCAGGTAGAGAACACAGGTCAGAGAGGCATAGAAGGAAGACAGGACAGGGAAGAGGAGACATCCTAGCGATGGGCACAGGTATGGGATTTGCAACTGAGAGCTCTCAGTTTCACAGGGTTGGAATCTGCAACATTAAACTGTATATTTATAGAGCACGTACTATGTGACAAATGCTTTCACTCTAATTTTCACCATAACATTGTGATGTAAGAATTACTATCCCTGTTTTATAGAGGTGTGAACTGTGGCTCCAAGAGGCTAAGTGGCATTTCCAAGGTCACTCAGTACAGGCGGGAATGGCATCCCTCAATAATTTATGTCCACGTCCCAATCCCTGCAATTTGGTAATGTGATTTTATTTGGAAAGGGTCTTTGCAGATTTAATTAAGTTAAGGGTGTCAAGATGAGACCATTCTGTATTATCTGGGTGGCACCAAAGTCCAATGACAAGTGTCCTCATAAAAAACATACAGGGGAAAGATCCACGGAGGCAAGAAAGCCATGTAAAGATGGAGGCAAGGATTGGAGTGATGTTGCCACCAGCCGAGGAGCGCCTGGAGCACCGGAAGCTGGAAGAGGCAAGGAAGGATCCTCCCCTAGAGTCTCTGGAGGAGTGTGGCCTTGCTGACGCCTTCATTTTTGGACTTCTGGACACCTGAACTGTGAGCAGATGAATTCTTGTTGTTTGAAGCCACTGAGTCTGTGGTGATTTGTTACAGCAGCCACAGGAGACTGATACACTCAATAAGGGATAGAGTCTAGGTTCAAATCCATGATTCATTCACTGGATCTCAGCCAACCAGTGTCTATACACGGTCTGATTTTTTCCTCTAGATAATCTATGTATGTGTACCTGCAGGTACATGGTACCCTAATAAGTCCTCATGCCAATAGTCACATCATTTCTATAAATGTCCTGCTTTGCACACAATCCCACACAACCAACAACTGTCCCCTCCATAATGCCAATATGCTCCTCCCTACGGACTAGAGATTCAGAGGTCACACTGAATTGGTGGTAGAGATGGGACCAAGCCTCTGGATTCCTGTCAGTGCCTTCTCCCTTCATACTGACCCCTTCTCTCCTGCCACACACCAGGAACAGCCCACATGGGGGCCACAGGGGT